TCCTCAGCTTTGACACTGCTGTGTGTTGGTGCCGCAAAGCGCCAGAGGCGCGGCGGGGACCCCTTCATTTCCTTGTTGTTGTGGCTGTGTTTATGATGGAATTTCAGCTTGAATCCTTCACCCCCCTGCCTCCTCACCCCATGTGCCTGCTTGCCCTGCCACGCCCTTTGCGTTTGCCGCACCGACGGCGATGCCGCCGTCGGTTGCGCAAGCCCGTAGGGGCCCAGCTTTCTCTGGACAACCCGTGCTCTTTTTTCTGCATGCTTCGCATTGCCCTGCACCCATCTTGAGACTGTGGTCGTTATGTATGTATGTGGTTCGGTCGCCGCCGGCGCGCCGCCGCCGGCGCGCCGCCGCCGGAGGGCGGCGCCGACGCAGCCCCTGCCTGGATTTTGCAAAAGCCTCTCCTTTTGACCCACGGAATTGTCGCTGCCAGAAGATTGCTGGGCTGAGTGTGGGCTCTGATCAGGCGCAAATGAGGGCCCTCCATGGGAGTGCCTAGTGGGCAGGCCTCCCTGTCAGCCGATATTGTGTGGTCCATCAGCCCGCCACCACTCCTTCGCCCATCCTCCTGCAATCCACACATCTCCCCGCCGCTCGCCTGCAAGCAGCGCCCGTCCGCCGCGCGATCAGCCCTTGTGGAGAGTTTGTGGCTCACCGGTAGACAAATGCAGGCGGCAGCAGCAGTTCAGAGCGTGGCTGCGGCCCGCCCGGTGCAGGCAGCGAGGCTGAGGTGAGGCTGTGGGAGCTCAGTGTGGAGCAGCCCCATCCCGCGCACCGCTTCCCCATCCAGCCAGCCGCCGCCGCCCCCGAACCACCCACATTGCCCTCAATGCTGCAGGCCACGCCAATTCGCCAGCCCGGCGGCGCAGCGGCGCGGCTGCAGGCAGCTGGCCGTCAGCGTGCGGGCCGAAGGTGGGGCGCCGCCGCCGCCTGGGCCACCGCCGGCTGGGGGCTGCGGCTGGTGCCTGGCCACAGTGCTTGGCGGCACTGTGGGTCATAGGGGGCCACACAGCATGGATCAGTTCACCAGCCGACGCCTCCGCCCTGTGCCTTTGTCCCGCCGGACCCATGCCGCCCTCCGCCGCCGGTTCTATCCACGCCCGCCGGCCGCCTGCGCCACACACCCACCTGCCGCTCCACCCGCCCGTCGTCCTCGCCCCTCGCCCAATCGCCCTCCTCGCCTTCACCCACCCCACCGCCCGCCTCCCCGCGCCGCAGCGTGGGCGCCGCCCACCGTGGCCGACGCCAAGCTCAAGTTCAACGGCGCCTTCAAGAAGCCGCTGCCCGCCATCTACTCCACGGTGGTGCAGGAGCTGCTGGTGCAGCAGCACCTGTTCCGCTGGAACAAGCAGTACCAGTACAACGAGGTGCGGGGCGGGACCACGGGGCTGCAATAGGCTCGCGCCGCCTGCGGGGCTGATGCCTTCCGCGCCGGCCGGCCTGGTGCCCGCACGGGCGGGCACACGCGCCCGGCCTGGCACCTCGCGGCCAGCCTGGGGGCGGCTTCATGCCACAGGGGCCCGCCCGGCTGGCCCGGGCGCCGGATGCAAGCAGCGAAATGCGTCCCGCCCGCGTGCCCCCTGCCCCTTCCGCCTCGCTCCTCCCCCGCCCTCATCCTTGCCCCCCCCCACCCACCCACCCCCGTCCCCTCGCAGGTCACCGCCCTGGGCATCGTGTCCATCTTTGAGCAGGTGCTGGGCGGGCTGCCGGACGCGGAGCGGGAGGCCGTGTTTGACGCCTTCATCAACGCGCTGCAGGAGGACCCCAAGCAGTACCGCAAGGGTGCGTACCGCCGTGCCGCGCCCCGCGGGAGTGGAGGACAGCAAGCCCTGCCGGCGCGCGCGCGTGGCGGGCGGTGGTGGCGGTGGTGGGGCCGGTGGCTGGCGCGCGGGCCTTGGTGGTGGTGGGGGGTGGGGGGCTGCGGGGCGCGTGCCACTGGGGCAGTGTGTGTGACACGTGGGGCCGGCCGGCGGGCGCCGCTCCTGCTGCAGACGCGGCGGCGATGGAGGAGCTTGCGCGCGGCAAGAGCGAGGTCGCGCCCGACGCCAGCGGCGACAAGGTGCAGCAGGCGCTGGCGGCGGTGGCGGCGAAAGAGGTGGGTTGGGGCGGCGGCCTGCTCGCCACAGCTGGCCAGGGCTGTGCCGGCACGCCTGCTGGCCGGCCGGCCGGCTGCCTCGGCACGAGGCGCGTGCCTGGCTGAGCGCCCGCCTGCACGCACGCCGCCCGTTCTGCGACCAACTGTATTGCTGCTGTACCGCAGGGCAAGTTCCTGTACACCAAGTTCTTTGCTGTGGGCCTGTTCCGCCTGGTGGAGCTGACCGGTGAGGCGGCTGACGCCCACTGTGGGCCTGGCCGGCCCGCGCCTGCCGCTGCGGCACAGGCGGCCGGCTCTCCGCCGCGCTGCCCCGTGCAGCCTCCGCCCTCCCTCGGCTGCCATCAAGCATGCCCAATCATCACGCCTCTATCACGCATCATCCCCTCAGCACCACCCCACAGAATCCCTCCCAGCCTGCCCCGTGCCCTGCCCTTCCACCCGCGCCCCTAACCCCCCACCCCTCCCTCCCCTCCCCCCGCTCCTGCCCCCCCCCGCAGGCTCCAAGGACCCCAAGAGCCTCACCACGCTGGTCAAGGCGCTGGGGCTGAGCCAGGAGCGTGTGAACGCGGACCTGATGACGTACAAGGGAGTGCTCAGCAAGCTGGAGGCGGCCAAGGAGATCATGAAGGAGTTCATGTGAGGGCGAGGGCGGCGACCGCTCCCGCGCCGCCGCGCTCTGGCCCTCCCTTATTCCCCCCTCGCGCTGCCTCTCCCGCCCGTGCCCCCGTGTCAGCCTCAGCCTCGCCGCCGCCGCTGTGCTGTTGCTGCCACCGCGCCTGCCGCTGTGTTGCTGACGAGCCGACGCCGACGCCTGTGTCCCGCGCCGCCTGGGTGCTGCAGGGCTCGGGAGAAGGTGAAGCGGGCGGAGCGCGAGGCGGAGAAGGCGGCCAAGGCGGCTGCGGCCGCCGAGAAGGCTAACGCAACCGCCGACTCGTCGGCCTGAGCGGCCTGAGCAGGCTCTGGCGGGCAGCACTGACGCTAAAGCGTGCGGCGGCNTGAGCTTTTTGNGTCAGTGNTGNCCGCCGCTGCCCTCCCGCCCGCCTCTGCCATTGCATCCCCCCCTTTCCGCACTCCCCGGAGCCTGGCTTTGCCTGGCCTCGCCACAGCTCAGCCCTGAGAGACGATGAACACAATCCTTGCTGTCGGTTTGCTGCCATTCTTTCATGCTCACAACACACCCCGGGGCTGCATTTTCCCCCAGGCCCGCCCCGCCTGTCTCATTTGCGTCCCCGGTGCGACGGCCGCTGCCGCTGGTCGGTTTTCCTGTGTTTCATGTTACCGCACTGCCCCTGTTACAGCTGCCCTCAGGAGGCGCATGTCGGCTGGCAGGGTCGGGGCGGGGCTGTGCAGCACGGGTGCAGCGCAGGGAGCGCGGACCGGCAGAAACAAACGAAAGAATGGGTCAGAAGGCGTCCTATAGAGCAGGCAGGACAAACAGTGCCGTCACGAGGCGGGCGGGGTGCGCCGCGCCTCAAAAAAGGGGTGTCAGGGTTGCAAACGGTGCTGGCAGAAGGGAGGCTGGCGCAGGTAAACGCCAGGAGAGCGGTGGGCGCGGCCCGGCCCAGGCTGCAAGGCCACCCGCTTCCCCCGTCCCAGCATGTGGCAGCAGGGGGCATCCCGCAGGCCCTATGCTGCCGGGGGAGCTGCGCAGGCTGCGTGCGGGGCTTGCTGGCTGGCTGGGTGGCTGGCTGGCCGTGCGCGCGCTGCCACCTACTGGCCGCCGCCGGCCGCGGTCTTGGCTGTCAGCGGGATGAAGTGGATGCGCACCAGCGGGTACAGCTGCCCGCGCATGCTCACGCCGCTGATGCCCCACTGCGCGAAAAACGCAGGCAGGCAGGGGGAGCGCGGTGGGGCGGGGGCGAGGCGGGCGGCCGCAAGCTTGGGCGGCGCGGGGGCAGGGGCAAGGGGAGGCGAGGCGAGGCAGCGCAGAGGGAAGGCGAAGGCAGCACGGCAGGGCCCAGCAGGCCACCACCGGTGCCGCCGCAGCACACGGACAGGCACAGGCACAGGCACACGCAGCGGCGCCCCACCTCGATCTCCTCCCAGCCCAGATCGTCGTGCAGCACGGTCCGCTCGCCCTCCGGCAGCGGCAAACCCAGCTTCTGCATCACCGCCGCCGGCAGCGCGCGGCTGCAGCGTGAGAAGCGGTAGCGCTCGGCGGCGGCGCCGCCGGCCGCCTCGCCGTCGGCCTCGTTGCCGCCGGCCGCGCCGCCGGCCGCGGGCAGGTGCGCCAGCTCAAACCGCTCCCTGCGCGGCGGCGGGAGCCGAGGGGGAGGGAGGCGAGGGGTGGGGGTCAGGCAGGCAGGGGCTCCCGTCGTGCAGCCCTCTCGCGCCTCCCGTGCCGGCAGCCACCTCCCGGCTGCAGCCCCCTCCTTCCTCCCGCGCCCACCGCTCCCCTCCCTGCTGCGCCTGCCAGCAAGTCCAAGCCCAGCCAGCGGCAGCACCCCGCTGTGGCACCCCTCCTTCCTCCCTCCCTCCGGCCCTCTCCCCCCCCGGCCATAGCGCTGCACCAGCCCTCCCCCGCCCCCCCCCCCC